TGAGCAGAGCATTTATACATTCAGAAGAATATGTGAGTATTTTCCCATGCACGATTACACTGTGTTTTTCTCATGTCATGTTTGGAGTGTGTTTGTATATTTCACTGCTTCTCAACTGAAACTGCAGTAGTTTATCATACAGAATAAACAAAATGTTAAATATGAAATGGACCAGGGTTATTATAGTTAACTAAATCTAAAAATAAAACCATAAAATATGACAAAAACTTTATTTCAGCTAGTTGCCAAGGCAACATGATCTCATTTTTGTTCAGTTTAACTAAATAACTAAACTGACTTGATATATATTTGTGTGTGTGTAAATAACAATATATTCGTCATTATACTAGAGTTAATAGGTGGAAAAAGTCACACTGGTCTTCTTGCAGTTACTCATAGTTTAATGAGTGTGTAGATGACTGTGACAGCCAACAACAGCACAGCTCAGCCCTGCACACATGTTTATATTATTTATACTGAGAAAGTTTCAGTTGAATTAATTCAGTGGATCTTTTTACCCCGTTGTAACACGGATTTCTATGGAGACCGGAAGACGAGAGCATCCAAACGGAAGTTAGAATCCATCAACTGATAAAAACTGATAGCTGAGGTCTCTGGTTTTGTTGATGTCTGGTTTATTTTTGTCTAATTTGACTGGATTTTACCTCATGACGGATGAATTTCTGCTGTAGAGTTTGACTGGACTCTCGACTGAAGATATGAGCATTTTTTCTTCTACCTGTCAGCTAGCAGTCATTAGAGTATCTGCTTAATATCTGTGTTTTGATGGACATCCTACAGATAAGTATTTTTTGCAAGTTCATGTCAACTTATTCTACTAACCCTAACCTAACAGTCTACTAATACTCTAATGAGAGTTCGCTGACATGTAGGTGCAAAGTTACTTATAGTTAGTAGAATGTTAGTAGAATGTCGAAATTGGAATCAAAACAAAATGATGCCTATTTAGCTATCATAACTGTATACTGCTGTATGGTTAGTTTTTCCCTGTTGTCCAGAACAGACTTTCTGTGTCTGGGCCGTCGTTGCTGCTGTTTGAGCTGAGTGATCTGTAACTGAAGAGTTTACTGAGCGTCAGAATCCGGTGTGTGTGGTCAGGACTGATCAGAGTCTGAGAGAAACACAGATGGTTTATTTAGCGTCTCTGTCTGATTGAATGCAGCAGTAAGAGTGACGGAGCGCAGCACTGCAGAGATCAGT